TATGTTCATGTCTCTTGGTGTGCTGTTGGTATCTAGACTATGCACCATTGAATGTTAGAAAGGCTGATCAACTGGAAAGGATTAAGAAGGATGCGGTCGGGGCAAATAGATGTAATGTCTGAGGGATTTAGGAAAGCCACGAAAAACTGCCAGGAGGGTGACTGTCCCGACCGAAATCGGATGGGGCACCTTCACTAGACAAGTGCTCAGCATTCATCGACGCACCAAACTTGTCTGTTTCAGAGCTCAAACCTGTCGAATGTAACGCCAAAATTTAACATTTTCAGACACCCGAATTTGCAAATCAAACATACCAACATATTGTCACGTGTAGTATGCGTGATTATAGATGGGGTATGGATTGGTGAAGAGATATATTGACCACTTACAAGTCGTAACTACAAATAACTATAACACTATCGCTATTTCCGCAATCTACACTTCATTAGAGCACACAGCCTACAGTTCTTAGTCTGTTACTAGACATTTTCTGGTAACGGCTGTAACAGTGGCTATTCCTCTGCCTTCGGCTCACGTCCTACCTTCACAGACTCCAGTATAGAACTGACTCTCAACTGACTCTGTCCCTTGCTTAAAGAATCTCGGAGCGGACCACACAGAAAACACAGCTCTTCTATTGTTGCCTTCATATCTGTTGCTGCGGGAACGTGTTTACCTAGCCGTTGTCCAGAAGCGGTCCTGGTAAATCCCTCCATCTCGCAGTCGTCGCATAACAACGACTCTACACGCTACAATATGAACCATACAAAAGTGGAGCCGGGTAAATCAGTCAGCATTGTTACTAGCCTACACATTGTAAGATGAAGTCATCTTTGTTCGATTCACAGCAGGGGCATTAGATTTTCTCTCCTCGATAGCGTCAAGACCGGCTTTCGAGGCCAAAACAGCCTCCAATCAAATGGCTACCACTGGTTTTTTAACCGGGGATAAAAAGGCCGGGACGTGAAGCTGGCCACTCATATCCAATTAATGCCGAGGTCAAGAACGGTGGAGCTATACATCCACTGCTCCATACGTCTTCGTGGCGTGGTGATGAATTACACACAGAGACAACTTACCTTTCAAACCTCACACAATACAACGGGCGCTTCCTTCAAGATCCCTTCCAATTAAAAAACACCCTATCATTCGACACTGCTTTATCTGAAGTACTACCCTTGTGCTTGCATGAATAAATAATTACTGATTAATTACTTATTATAATAAATAAATAATCAACTGCTAATCATGACATTTGATTTCGTATCCTTATGGTCTTCTGCGTTGACACCGTATAGTGGTTAGCAAAGCTTCCTAAGCACTTCCGAACCTGAAGACGGAGACAGCAAGTAATGTCGTAACGCCGGTAGCCACCTACACGACTACACAATGGTATAACCTTGTAGGCCACAAATTTACATCCTCAACATTACGAAAGCCTCTGGTTTGATACAATTACCGCAGTTAGGCCACTCATATCCGTAGCGGAAACTTGGGGCCAAGTTCTGCACAACTGACCGGTGATGGACCCGCCTATTCACTTTTAGAAGACCCCAGAGGATTATCCTCCAACACCTCACATAAACCCTCTTCCTGTTCCGCCCGTTTTCTGATGATCATACTTGGATACAATTATCAACTGCACTAAAGTTCCTCCCCGTGAGGCATTGAGGCTTTCCAACAGAGGGCAGCAGCATAGTCCGTTCAACCGTCCTACGGATATTCTTGCTGGAGGAGTGTAGTGTCCAACAAAGGCGTCCGCTGACATTGAACAGGAATCAAACACAGTAAACCCTCGCTAATCCGTTTATAGTTAATCCGGATCGACAATGACAAATTATATTCAGATTTCAGTAAAGTAAAGTTGTCCCTGAGCCGGTCACGGTAGCCGAGCGGTCTAAGGCATGTACTGTCTTCGCTCGCTTGGAACCCGGGATCGTGGGTTCGAATCCCACTCAGGGCATGGATGTTTAGTTTGTGTGTGTGCGTTTTTCTGTGTTTGTGTACAGGTAGAGGCCTTGCGACGAGCTGATCACCCTCCCAAGGAGTCCTACCGAATGTGTAAGATCTAGAAAAACCGAAGTGAACGGAGAAGTTTACGGAGGTAGGCTTAGGCCCACTGGGGCTGTAGTGCCAAGGAAAAAGAAAGTTGTCCCTAACTAATTAAACACTACGCCATGAAGGCGTATGGGGGAGTGGATGTATAGACCACATTTTCTTGACCTCAGTACTAGTTGTAGGTGAGTAGTCAGCTTCACGCCGCGGCCGCTTTACCCTAGGGAAAGAGCCCCCAGTACCCATTGTACAGGAGGTTGCGTGGACGCCAAAGTCGGCTTGGACGACAAGGAGAAGTGAAAAATTCTTGACCTTACCAGGACTCGAACTCCGACCCCTCTGCCGTCCAGCCTATAGCCAGTCACTATACCGACTGAGCCATCCCGGTTCTTGTATGTACCACGTATTTGATAATAACTCTGCATTCTGCCCATAGAAACAGACTGTAGAGGCCCACAAGATTGTGAGACGTCGACGCTCCCATGTTTTCTGATAATCGGCTGACAGATGGCAGTAAGGTTGTCAGCCTTACGCAGTCACATCTGATATACTGTACTTCTTGTGAGATAAATTTTGACATGATATTCTACTAGCATAGTTAAAAGTGACGTGAACTGTAATTAACAATCTGCTACGGCAGTTTGAATCCCCTTAATTATGAGAAATTTAGGGACGGAATCCTCGGCCCTGGGTAAGAGTCACAGCGCAGAGTATCATATTAATTAACCAGAACACTGCAATTAGCTTACAGGACCACGCGTCAGATCTTGGGGCAAAGTAACACGAACTCTTTCCACACTGAAGTGTCGTTTGTACTTCCTCAGACATGCAGTAAGCGTTCTGACCGCAGGAAAAGTAATACATCTCGAGATTCGAGGATCTACACGTTTCGAGTCCCCCTCTTCCCCCCGCACATGAGAAAACAGTTCTTGGAATGTTGTCTCTCTGTATGTATGTGCCCCTCGCTACAGCGTGAATGGTTGGACGGATTTCGCTCACATTCAGGTATTTAACAGTTTCTCCGTCATAAAGAACTGCCCGATGAATATAAGCGCACCAGCTCTGAAAATATGGGCCCTTCAAAAAAAAAAAAGACGATTTTCTACAAGACACCTCTGAGGATTTGAAATAAATATCAGTAATTTAAGGACAAAATCGTCGCAAATAAAAGTGCATAAATGCTGTCTTCACGAAAATAACGGCAAAGGCCCAAATGGGAGATGCACACTTTCTCGAAAAAAAGGCCGCACCAATTTCAATTGAATTTTATTCATCTACAGACGCAATGGATAGTAACGTTTAAGGAAACAGTCTNGTCTTCACGAAAATAACGGCAAAGGCCCAAATGGGAGATGCACACTTTCTCTAAAAAAAAAGGCCGCACCAATTTCAATTGGATTTTATTCATCTACAGACGCAATGGATAGTAACGTTTAAGGAAACAGTCTCTGTTTATTGTGAGAACCATACGGAACACACAAATACACTCTGTGGGCAGAAAACTCAGCCCGCACCTCACAGGAAACACATTACACCTCAACTACAAAGCCCAACCAGTTAATGCTGTTTAGGGAAACAGTTTCTGTTTATTGTTTGAACCATACGGAACACACAAATACACTCTGTGGGCAGAATGCAGTTTTGGTATGATAAAGCAAATGGAATATATGGTAACCACTGGGCTTCAAATGGTTAATTAAGGCACTGATTTGGAACCAACCTGTCGACGAAACTCTGTTCGCATATGATCCTACTCGTTACGCTTTCAAAGCGACCACAGTCAAAATCCCATACCCGAAAATTAACCTCGGCACTAGATGGAGGTCAGTGGTCAACTTCAAGCCACAGCCGCTTTGCTCCCTAGCAAAGCACCCTCTGCACCCATTAGATATTATCGATTGGGTCCTAGAGCCCCTCTGGACTCTGAGAAAAGAAATTCTTCTCTCTGCCGAGAATCGAACCGTGAATTCTGTCACCGAAGCAGTAGCCTAGTGTCACTATACCGACTGAGCTATCCTGGCTCCAAATTAGTGGGAAGAAACGAATTCATTAACTGAAAGTGGGTGTTCTAATATACAAAAAAAAATGTTTTCTCAAGAATGTATTGGGAAGTGTTTGTTTGGATACCGAGTTACGTAGAGACGTGATGTGTTCCTGATGGGTTCTCTGAATCATTGGATTACTTACTGAAGTGTTGGAAGCTGTGATGTACAGTTAGCCCAAGCCAAAGAGTATGGGAAGAGCCCTGTTACGTTACACGAATGCGTAATGATAGAGGCAAAACAGAATGTTTACATTCTTATGGAAATTACACATGGATCACGTTATAAAGAACGTCAAGATATAATACAGACTAACGGATACACTTAGAGGCTGCTGCATCATCACACGCCGACGTATGGTGTAATATCATCATAAAGTTCCCATCATGCATGATCATACTGGAGATCTCGTTCAACTGAGAGGACTTTCCTTCCGTAAGGTTGGCTACTCAAGGCATGACGTATCATCATAGAATAAACAAAGCAAACTCCGTGGCTTTAGTCCGCAAGCGAACTATACCGACAGAGCGACCGCCGCTTGTCGGCGAAGTTAGTACCAACTTTAGAGGATAGAGGGTGTCGCGTGGTCAGCGCAACGGATCTCGGTTTTCTAGACCGGAGCAGCTAATTCCTTGAAATAGCTCCTCAATTGTCCTCACGAGGCTGAGGGGACCCCGTTCCAGACCCACTACTTCTCAGAAAATCTGGTAGCGCCGGGAATGGAACCCGGACTTCTGGATCTGTATGCAGGAACTCTGACCACTAGACCACAGAGGCGGTCTCAACATGAAAATCCTCCGGTACTTTAATAACGATCTCCCAGGATTGCCGTTAAGAGATCCGGTGACCTCGCCTTCATAAACGGGTAAAAGAGCGCTGAAACGGAAAGCAGAATTTCCTTACCTTGCCCGAAGAAACGTGAAGACCCGAAGATGGACTGCGCAAACGCAAGGGACGATACCAGACCGACGACGAAAGCCGACATAGCGACAGAGGGCAAGGACCTGAAACAGAAATCACGTTAAAGTCTCAATGACAATCGTTATCGCATCATCTCTCGGGGCCATGGCCTACTTTAGAGGAGGAAGGGAGCGGTTGACTTCTGAAGAATTATTTAAAACAATGTTGTCTCCACGCACAATTTTGTTAACTCGGTGAGTGGCTCCTTTTGTTTCATTCCTCTTGTTCATCGTACTGTTTTCTCTGGCCTTTGACCGATGCCAACCTTTGAAATCTCTGTGCGGGTGGCAATTCTCTTGAAAACAAGATTAGGGATCCCCTGCCCCTTAACAGTACTCTACATCAGCATGTCTGCCCAGTCCATATCTCCGGCGAGTGTCCAGAGAACATTTCTCCTACAAAGCTAAAAGCCTTCTTGTGCACCCGTACAGTGTTTCTGTTACATATGCAATTTTAGCACAGGCTCTAGAGGCTCACACTAGCGCTGCCAGCGGGGAGGATGAGAAATGTTACGAGCTCTAGACATATCAGTGCAGCCAACCTTTGTCACTATTCCCTGTTTCAAAGAATATGCTAGTACAGAGGGGGCTCATTTCTGACTTACGTATTTCCATACCTGAAGTCGGGCAAAGTGAAATCATCCCTGGGCTTAATTAAGCACCACGTAATGATGACGTATAAGGGTTGGAGGCATAGCTCCCTGACCTAGTAACGTCGGCGCTAGATGCAGGTGAGCGGTCAGTTTCACGCCTCGGCCGCCTTATGCCCGGATAAAAATATGTCGGTACCCAAAGCACAGGAAGCTGGGTGGGCTCCCAGGTTTTGCATTAGTCCAGAGAAGACAAATAAATTCATGGCGCATAAGAGAAGCCGCGTGTGTGTGTGTTTTTAAAGATTTATACTAAAAAGAAGTTCATTCTTGCAGAAGAGACACCATGGCCGAAATTTAAATGCCGCCCATCAACGTCCTCTCTAGGGCCGCGCCACAGCTCAAGCGGTTAGTCGCTGGCTTCCCACCGCGGCGGCTCGGGTTCGATCCCGGGTCTGGTCAAGTGGGATTTGTGGTGGACTAAGTGGCGCTGGGGGAGGTTTTCTCCGAGTACTTCGGTTTCTCTTGCCAATCTTCATTCTACCAATTGGTCCACAATCACCCTCACCTATCATCTGGGGCTGGTACAATAGGCCAGAAGTGGCCGCAGTACAAGGGACATAGTCCCACCTCACTAGCAATAAAGAAGAAAAAGTCGTCTCTAAGCCGGGAATGTAAGTGCGCAAGTCATGATGCCTTCTGAGCAGCTTGGGCAAACCGGTTAGAGGAGCGGAAGGGGGGGGGCAGCGATTTACGAATAACGTTCATGACAGACATCAAATTTACACGCTCCCAAAAATAATAACAAAAAAAAAATGTAGTTTACATTTTAAATTTTATTTTCGTTAATTCGAATTGCCAACTTTCGCGGTTAGAGGATGTCTCGTGGTCAGCGCAACGGATCCCCACGGCTGTTAATTTTGGTTTTCTAGACCGGCGCCGCTATTTCCTTGAAATAGCTCCTCATTTATCCTCACGAGACCGAGTGGTCTCCGTTCCAGACCCACTTACTTACTCATGGAGCTGAGCCCTTCTGAAGGAACCGCCAATTCTGCAGCTACTCAAGAATTTCCCAGAATTTTATGGAACCCGAAGGTTCATTGCCGTGTTCACAAGAGCCATCCACTGGTCCCTATCCTGAACCAGATCAATCCAATCAATACCACCCCATCCTCTCTCTCTGTAAGATCCATTTTAATATTGTCCACCCACCTACGCCTCGGGTTCCAGATCCATTACTTCTCAGAAAATCTTGGTAGCGTCGGGAATAGAGCCAGAACTCTGACCACTATACCACAGAGGCGGTCGACCTCCAGTATGTCGTAAATAAATTACAGTAACACTGCAATAATGACGTAACGATCTGCAACACCGTCTGATGATGACGTCCTCTCGAAGATAGTTTGGACGTGCAATATACAGCAGTCACTGAATACGAGAAGGGGATATGAATTGTTTTCTTTCTTAATAAAATATACTTAAACATATCATCCGTCCAGTCTAGTGGCAAAGGGGGTGGAAGTTACGTGTTTTGAGACTTTCACCAAAATATTTAAAGCGTTCGAGAAAAGGGTTCGGCTTTCTAGAGTCATAATTGCTAACGATGTAAACAAACTGTCTTACGTGATAGAAACGTAAATATGGACACACGTGATACCTTCTGACAACTTGGCTTAAAGTACTTTGCTCAACAATAAAGCTATGGTGGTTATGTGGACAGAACATCAGAGAGCCGTGTTTTGTTGTTTTCATACTCACAGAATGGAATGCTAAAATAAAAAAGTTGCCCACTGGCGTTCAAAATACTTCAAGCCCTTGTGTACACAGACACGCTGCTTCTAATATCTTACATGACTAACACTGCATATGTCACGATTTCATGGAGTGACTATTGGCGGGGTTTGGATTCGTAATTGGATTTATTGAGCACTTACAGATCGTAACTACAAGGAACTATAATTAGAATTACACGCATGTGCCCCTTGAAAATTTCCCTCGAGAAAAAGTGACTAACTCAGAAAAAAGAGAAGAATGAGAGAAACAAAAGGAAACAAAACAAAATAAAAGAAAGCTAGGAAAATATTAAGAGGGGAGGCATATAAATAAAAGAAAACGAAATAAAGGAAAATTACGTAACAAAAACAGAGATCAAATGAAGATGGAAATAAAGAAAGAAAGAACACAGCAAGGAGATAAGAAGATAGCAATAAAAGAAAGAACGTGGCAGAGGGCCGAAGAAACAAATACAGATATACTCAGTTTACTGTGGGAACAGTGTTACGTCACATTAGTTTGTGACGTAGAGTGTTACGTCGTCATTAGATTTTTTTTAATATTCTGTTATGAGCATAACTTCTGGTATTCATACAGGTATTGAATACAGGGTATTCAAAGGGCTCTACAGCCCTTTGTTGGGCCCTGGCCTCTTCTTCAGTTTCCTAAGCTTTTTTACACAGTCGGTAGGACTCCTTGGATGGGGGATCAGGAATCCTCCGTATTAAACGACGAGCCCTAATTCGTACAGCAGAACAACTTTATAAGCCTACATATAGAACTACCGGGCGGCGCAAAAAAGACAATGGTGATGATGAACATCTTGACGGTTTTGAACGAAACTAGTATTTGGTGCGTAGAACATACAAAGATACTGGTATGTACGTAAAACGGTAAAGGTAAAGCTGTCCCTGTGCTTAACGAATTAAGGCATGTGGGGGAGTGGATGTATAGATACGCATTTTCTTGACCTCGACACTAGTATAAAGTGAGTGGTGAGCTACACGCCCCAACCGCTTTACCCCTAGGAACCCATTGGGTAGGAGGTTGGGTGGACCCCAGAGCCGGCCTGGACGACGTGGAGAAGGGAAAATTCTTGATCCTACAGGGACTCGAACTCCGACCCCTTGGTCGTCCAGCCCGTAGCCAGTCGCTATACCGACTGAGCTATTCATGCTTCGACAAAATATGTGGGTGCTGAGATTTATTAATTTCTGGGGATACTTTAAAAAGAAAAAAACATTTCCCTGGACACTTCAGAACTGCAAATTTTCCATCAGTAAACCCCCCCCCCCCCCCCCCCCCCCACCCCCCCCCCCCCCCCCCCCCCCCCCCCCCCCCCCCCCCCCCCNACCAAAGGCTTGCAGACGGTGAGGCATGTTCTGGTTTGCCTAGTGTCCCGTTGGGAACGGAGCCAACACCCGCCTCCGCCCCCCCAACCCCACATCTGCAATGTCCATTCATGTTTATGCCTCAACTGAATTTTGCAGTTCTACCAACAGCGCATTGCCACAGTGATATATGCCCTTTGTTGCTTCCTCCAGTGCAACACAGATACTGAATCCATTTCGAGAGTACAGTGTGTTGGAAACACTACGAAGTTATGCTCAGGTGCATTTCGCGTTGGCATGGTGGTAGCAGTCTTCAGTTTTATTCAGGACAGGCCAGGACACCTGGTTTCCTGAGGTTTTCCTCAGTCCTTCAAGTTCATGTCAAGCAAAATAAACTCCGTGGCCTGTAGCCCGCAAGTGAACTATACCGATCGAGCAACCGCAGCTTGTCGTCGAATTATTGGACCGCCTCTGTGGTCTAGTGGTCAGAGATCCTGGCTACAGATCCAGAGGTCCCGGGTTCGATTACCGGCGCTACCGGATTTTCTGAGAAGTAGTGAGTCTGGAACGGGGCTCACTCAGCCTCGTGAGGATAACTGAGGAGCTACTTGAATGGAAACGTAGCGGCTCCGGTCTAGAAAACCGCGATTAACGGCAGTGGGGATTCGTTGCGCTGACCATGCGACACCCTCTTATCTGCTAAAGTTGGCACTCCAGTCTATGACAGTATCTTAAATTAGACAACTAACATTTCCTTTCCAAATGATCCTAATATACTGTATATGCTTGTTACTGACATCGGTATATACAAAAACCTCGTGACGACAGGAATTGTTGGCCTGAAATATGCATTGCTTTTCAAAACAAAAATTCTATGTTCTTGCAAATATCGAACAGAGAATTAGACATTTGAATATCGGTTTATACTCAGCCGTTATGCTGACGTAACACAAGTCACTCACGCATGGAGCTGAGCACTTCTTGAGAAGCCGCCAGTTGTGCAGCTACTCAAGAACTTACCAGGATGTTATCGAACCCGAAGGTTCATTACCGTGTTCACAACAGCCCTCCACTTGTCCCAATCCTGTGTCAGATGAATCCAATCCATAACATCCCATTCTATCTCTCTAAGATCCATTTTAATATTGTCCACCCGCCTATGTGATCTCTTTCTTTCTGCCTCCATATCTGGAGTCGGTTTCCTCCATCCGCAACCTGAGGACGCGCCATGCCGTGGTAACAAGGGGCCCACCTAGCATAGCATGATACACAACACGGTGCAGAAAATAAAGATTTCCCTACACCGTTCTAATGCATAAAAATGTCGGTGTTGTTACTGAAGCATCATCAA